ACTCCAAGAAGGACATGGAGGTGCTGGAGCGTGTCCAGGGAAGGGCAACAGAGCTGGGGAAGGGTCTGGAGCACAAGTGTGATGAGTTCCCAGCTGAGGGAACTGGGGTTGTTGAGCCTGGAGAAAGGAGGCTGAGGGGAGACCTTCTGGCTCTGTCCAAGTCCCTTAGAGGAGGGTGGAGAGAGGTGGGGGTGGGTCTGTTCAACCAAGGACCAAGAGACAGGACAAGAGGAAATGGCCTCAATTTGTGGCCAGGGCAGTTGAGATGGGATGTGAGGAAGAATTTCTTTGCTGAAAGGGTTCTGAGGCATTGGAAGGGGTTGCCCAGGGCAGTGGTGGAGTCCCCATCCCTGGAGGGATTGAAGAGTCGTGTAGACACAGTGCTGAGGGACATGGGTTAGTCAGGGACTTGTCAGTGTTGGGTTCATGATTGGACTCAATGATCTTCAAGATCTTTCCAGTCGAGGCCGTTCTGGGATTCTGGGATTCTGTGAGCATGCCAGGCATTGGGGCAGTTGCCAGCGCAGTGAGCAGGATGCTGTGGGACCAGATCACAGAGGTGTTGGCATGGGGCAGACAGGGAGGTCGTGGGCAGCATGGAGGGTCTTTCTCCAGCACTCAAGTTGCTCGCTTATTGTTAGCTTTAGCAAGGCATCATTCAAGCTCCTTAGATACCCTGTGTCTGAACAAAATCATTTCCTGTTTGACTTTGTAAATCAAAGTAGACGATACAATAATTATTAATAATATGTTGACTTATCTCATCAGCGTTTTAATTAGTCAGTAGAAAAGCAATTTGCAAAGGGGCTGATCAGGATCCCTCTGATCCAGCAGGTCACGTGCCAAGCCAGGAGAGGGGAGAGAAGGGCACTGGGGCACTGGGGCATTGGGGCATTTTGCTGGGGAGAGCTGGAAAACTGGAGACACAGAAGGGGAAGGGGCAGCCTCTTTGATGGCACTGATAAGAGTTTAATTTTCAATGCAAAGGGAATTGTTCTGGGGCTGGAGTGAGCTGCAAAGCTCCCGGGAGCCCTTTGAAGTTATAATTGAGAGGAGCCGCAGCCTGCGGGACAGGGATGCTACTGGTGACCCTTCTGCTTCCTGCACGTGTCTCAGGAGTGGAGGTGAGGGGAGGACACAATTGAACTCCTAAGCAGCAATTACAGACAATTACCCCTCAGTTAATTGTCTGGCAAGAGGAAATGTCAAAACAGGCCACAGCATGCCTCCCTGATGGCTTGACACTCTCCAGGGCCAATGGTGCTGCTGACCCCCGCTGTGCCCATTGCTCCCAGTCCCCTGATCCTCTGCTCTTGGTGGCCACAGCAAACCCAGAGAGGAAAAAATAAAATAAAAATCTTCCTGTGAGGCAAGTTCACCTTGCCCACAAGTGTGATGAAAACATCAGGACTTTGCAAGTAGTACCCTTCCAGTTTTGCATTGCTGATGCTTTGGACCATTGTCCTGGCTGTGCAGGCAGCTCTGGGATCTCCCAGTCCAGAGACAAAAACTCTGAGACTGCTACTTTTCCTCAGGCATCCCCAGGAGCCCCGAAGAGGTGGGAGAGGACCTTCAGGTGCTGGAAAAGCAAGTGGGACTGTGCTACTGGACACAATTCCCTTTCTGAAGCTCCTCAGGCTGGAGACTGGTGCTCTGAGCTGTTTAGCACCATGCAAAGACCCAGCCAGAGCTACCCACCTCCCCACTGTCACCCATGCAGTGGCCCTGGACTCACACAGGGCAGGGGAATGGAGATGTGGATAAAGCAAAAACAAGCATGACTTCGGCTGGGGAACCAGGGTCAGCAACACTGTCCCTTGGCAGGAGGATGCTGTGACAGATCTGTCTGGATGGATGGAGCAGAGACACTGCAGGGAAATCCTGCACCCTCCAGCACCCATCACACACTCCAGCGGCAGCTCAGTCAGCACAGTCAGAAGGCAGCAGGGGAGAATAGTGGGGTGGAGGACACTGCCACCTTTTTTCCAGCAGGAGTATCTGAATTAAGGAAAAAGCAGCAAAAATAAGAGACCCCAAATAAAATCTGGCAGTACACTGCCTCCATACCACACCAGCAACCAGGGCTGCCAGAATCGCAGCATGTTGCAATGAGCAGGGACAGTCCCAGGGACAACAGAAGTACTCCTCAGATGGTGACCAGCAAACTTAATCCCTTTCCTGGAGCAGAGATCACACCAGGCTTGGAGCCACGTGGACACAAGCTGCCAAACCTGGGATTTACCTGGTTTCTCTCCCACCTGAATCCAAACCTTGCTGCAGAGGCTGCTCAGGAGGCATCTACTCAGTGTCAGATCATTAGCACTGGGAGTGAATATCCTACAGCAGCTTCTCTGAAACACCAGCACCCCATCCCACCTCCTTTCTGGTGATGGCAACTGAGTCCAAGTGCAAACTGACTACCCAAAAAGAACCTGGAGCTGAAGGAGCAGCAGAAGGTTAAAGGAATGAGAGGTTCTTTCAGGATGATGCGATGCAATGGCCCATGGAGGAAGAACCACAGTGCAGACAAGTGCTCAGAGGAGCCATTAACACATCCAGCTGGAAAACTATATGCAAAGTTGTTTGTGCAAGAACACCACATCAAAACCCAGGCACCCTCCTTGAAAGTGTTCAAGCCAGTTTGCACACAGCTGTGTGGTTGTTCTCTGGGTAACAGGGCCATGAGTTGGGCAAAAGCACAAGTTAAGCAAAGAGTGGTGTTACCCCATGACTTACCTAGGAATTGTGGGAGGACACAGCAGCATAAGATGTCCAAGAGTTTGCTTTGGCATTAGGTGTTATACAAGTCTTTTTGTTTTTCTTCTTTGGCATCCAGGATCAACTATTCATAATAAACACCACCAATAAGGTGGAGCCTTCAGATCTGTATTAACGTTCAGAAGTTGCTAGGCTACTGGTAAAGGGCTGGTGGGAATCTGCAGTACTGCAAGTCGTCAGCAGAGTGATGACCGCCCTGCAAACCAGCTCAAGCACCCTATGGACACCTGACAGCCCTAATGCATTGCACCTGACAGCCCTAATGGATCGGGACCCAGGATTCATCCCCTGGCTTTGCAGATGTACAACACAGGATGCTGCACCTCAACTGGTCATGGAAGTCCCTGATGTGGTGAGAAAGTGGCACTTGTAGGCTCATTCCCTCAGGAAGACATCTGCCTTAGGAGTGCAAGGTCCTGCCCAGTCATCCCCATGTGTCCCCAGGACAACCACCTCAAATGGATTAAGTTCCATCCAAGCCATCCAGGTGATGTGATGGATCATTTCTTCATGTCTGACAGCTAGCAATGGGATACGGTCGCGCAGGTGTCTGGAGAGCTGGGACATTGGTGGAGGATCCAGAAGGAGGGTCTTGGGCAGTCTGTGAGCAGTGGAGGGTCTGACTATGGGGAGGAATTTCTAAGGACACGGTGAAGGGCAGGGCAGTGGAACTGGACAAAGGAAACCAGTTTGCACTCCCAGAAACATCCCAGAAACCTCCTTCATCCCAAGGGAGCAGGCAAAGCCCTGGTCCCTGATCCCCTGAACACGCATCAGGCCCCTCCAGGATTTGGCAGTAGGGCTGGGATGAGACGGCAGCAGCGAGGTGACAGGACAGAGACCCACACAACCAAGGGCAGCCTGTACTTGACCATAAGGAGGACAACATCTCCTTCATCCAGGCAAAGGTCCGCTGGCTGGAAACAGAACCCGGGCAAACCCACGTGGTGGACAGTTGTTAACAGGTCACTGCTAACAACGTGGCTACAGGACCTGGAGGATTTACCACCAGTGGCAGTTTTGTAGTCAAGGGTGTGTTTTTTCTAAAAGCTGGGCTTTTCTGGAATGTGAGTGCATTGACAGGTCTGAAGACCTGTATCTATGGAGGAGATCACACCAGTGCTGCAGTCCCTTCTGACCTTGTACCTCTGAATCTATTATGTTTCCTGGATAGTCATCATTGCAAGAGCTAACTGCCAAAATTAGAGCTGAGTTAATAATTTAATATATTTACATATATGATAATATCTGAAGAAATAGGATCATTGTTATTATTATGAATTCACAGTTCGGATCGCTCCTGCTCAAACAGTGTGGGGACTGAAAGTCTCAAGCAACAGATCAACGAAAATGATTAGAAGCCTGGGAAGATTTCTGTAGGAGGTGGAATTGAAAAGATTAGGACTGTTTAGTTCAGAGAAGGGATGAAAAAGAACGGACATGAAAAATCAAAACAGCAGCAGAAGCCATGTAGGCACGCCAATTTTGCACATTTTGTGCGTGCAGCAAGCCCCACTGTGCCTTGCAGTTGGTCCTGTGTGTATTTATGGGATTGTTTCTGTTCACTAAATGAATGAGCAAAATCCTTACAGCCAGGTCACCACTGCCATCTGGAACTCACAATTTCCAGAAAGCTGCTGTGGCAGGAAAACCTGGACATGGAAATGCAAGTGAAGGGACTGTGCAGAGAGGCTCCAGCCAGCAGAGGTGGCAGGTTCACATGGGGGTCACCACTCCTGTTCATGCCACAGGCCTGTGCATTTGCATCCCCATTCCCTGTGAGAAACCATCTGCAGGGAATGGTCCCCTGCCCCTCTTCCCCAGATCCCACAGCAAATTCCTCAACAGGCAGTTGAGCTCTTTCCAGTCCTTTTGGGTTGTTCTTCCTGATGCTCCCCTGGAGCAGTGAGGAATGAGATGCTTCTCAGCCTGAGTGCCCATGGGGCAACCCAGCTCTTGAGTTCCCTCAGAGCTCAGGACCTGGTGACATCCTGGTCCCTGCTAGAGGACATGGAGAGTTTAATGGCATTTCCAATCCAACCGCATCCCACTGCTAGTCTTTCAGGCTGGCTTTTTCCCAACAGACATGCTCTCTTTTGCCCCATCAGCACTGACCAAGGCACCAGCATGGCACTGAGATGTCCATCCACCCTCCCCACAGGGACCCATGGTGACCCATCCCACTGGGATCCCCCATGTGCCAACAGCCACTTCATACTTACCCCATGCAAGGGATAAGTCATCCAGCCCCAGTCCCCCGGGATCTTTGACGTGTCTAGCAAGTTCACTGGAAAACACATGATAAAAACACTGCGTTAGAAAGCTTTGTCCCCATCCCTGAGGGGTGGGTGAGGAACTGAGCCACCACAAATGACCCCTCTTCACATCCCACTCACCTGATTGTCCCCTGTGCCCATCAATCTATGGGGCTGCTGCCAGGGACCTGCCTGGCTGCAAATGATGCTCCCCAGAGCTATTGGTTCAGGGTAAAGCCAGGGTGGGGCTGTATCAGTCCTGGCCATAGGACTGAGAGCAGCTTGTCCTTTTGGAGGAGAGGGAGCTGCAAACAGCAGGTCAGAGGGGGTGCAAAGCAACGGCAAGCTGGGGAAACAAACTCCAAGCATCAGGCTGTCCAGCAGTTCCTGCCCTGGACCAACCCCAATGCAACTGGAGCATCATTCCTCGCTTGGACTCTTCTCCAGAGGCTCCACCAAGCTCTGTAGGCTTGCATCGCTCTCCACATCACCAGTTTGAAGTCTGCACTCCGGCAGCCATTGTAATTATGCACCACAGTGCCCGACTCCAGCACAAAGTAACCCCCCATGGTCCTGGCTGACACCCCACTGGTGAGAGCAGACCGTGGGGGACAGGCTGCATGAGGAAGCCCATCAAAGGCAATCCTTCAAAAGCTCTGCCACCACTGGCAGCCCGGCTTAATGAGGAGACATGGACAAATCTGTGAGGAGAGAGGAGCAGCTTCTAAGGGAGGAGAGGTGAGGAGACCTTTGAATATGCTCAAGAGCTTCCCATGGAAACCTGTGCAGGGGAGGGAGATTGGGATGCCATGGCACTGCTGCATGAACAGGGTGAGCTGCCCCAGAGTGTCCTCTGCTGACTGTGAGCCCCACACCCAGATCCCTGGCACTGCCTGATAACCCCCCAGACTTGCTCAGCATCTGGAGAAGGACCCCAAGCCCCAGCTCCAGAGTACAGATCCAGAGGTATGGAGGCCTGGGAGAGGGTGCCGACCAGTGCCTCTACCCTTGGAAGTGAGTGCAGCAGGCACTTACACCAGCATGCCCATGCCTCATCACCTCTCATCAGCACCAGGCTCCCTTGGGGACCTCCAGTGCCACCAGCTTTCCTCAGCTGCCCAGTAAGGCCAGGCCCAGGCTGGATGCTGTGTCCACGCTGGCTGCTTTTCCTCACCCTCGAGCAGCTTCAAACTGGACACAAGGGGAAGAGGAGGGGCAGGCGCTGATCTCTTCTCTCTGGCCACCAACAAATGCCAGGAGCAGAGGAAATGGCAGGAAGATGTGGCAGGGGAGGGTGAGGTTGGCCATGAGGAAAAGGTTCTTGAGGCAGAGGGTGGTGGAGCACTGGAACAGGCTCCCCAGGGAGGTGCTCATGGCACCAAGCCTGACAAGATTGCAGCAGCATTTGGCCAAGGCCCTGAGGGACATGGTGTGAATGTTGGGATTGTCCTGTGCAGGGACAGGAGTTGGACTGGATGATCCTTGTGGGTCCTTCCAGCTCACAACATTCGATGATTTTATGGACCTTGAGGCAACTTGGTGCAGCATCCCAGCTGGTCCCTGGGCTCTGGAGGGATGGTGGTCTTGGCACAAGGCACCAGCCCATCGCAGCACTGACGGGGCATGTTGGGACAGCAGCTCCAGCCCCAGCACAGGCTGGGCTCAGTGTGATTCTGGTCCCAGCAGCCAGAGGAACGAGTGCCACTTTCATTTACTATTACCAGGCAGGGAAGGAGCGGTGGGGGGAGAGAGAGCAGAGACGTGAGCTGGCTGTGAAACGCCTGGACGTCATGCTCCTGACAGAGCAGATTAGGAGCTTTTGAGGCATTTATTAATGTTAGCAGAACAATTTGAAAGCATTTCCAGGGTTTCTTGTGTGACTCCATTGGCCCAACAGCAGGCCGAGCCCCTCTACTCCCCGCAAGGTGCTGCTCCCACTGCTAAAGAGGCCCCTTGCCCTCAGCACGGAGTAATTACCTCGGAGATCTCAAATCCATTTTTATTTGTTATTGTTAATCTGAAGATTTTCTGCCTATTTTCCCTGGGTAATTCACCCAGCAGGAGCCCGGGCTCAGGAGTTTCCCTGCTCACAGTGTAGGAGCATGGTCCTGGTGACCCTCAGCAGGCAGGCTGTGGGGAGGGGACTACTTTCGCAGACCCTTTCTCCCCCCTGCTGTGGTCTCTGCACCCTCTTTCCCACGCTGAGATGCTCAGCGATGGACGTGGCTGCATCTCGCTGCTCTGCAGGCAGCACGAGGAGCCTGCGTGGACCAGGGTCCAGCTGGAGCATCACGTTACGGGAAATGATGCTGAGATCAGAACAGGAATCCCCACAGTGGGACATTCCCCAGGCTTTTCCACACAGCACTGTGTGGGACCTGGAGCCAGCTTGCTACACCCCATTCCACCACATGGACCATATGGTTGTCACCCAGCCTCATACAGATGAAGGAGCCGTCTCCTTGCAGGTTCTTTGATGCACAATAACTACATGAGTTTGTGTTCCCTGCAACACCCCCATGGAGCAGATTGCTCATGCCGCTTTGCAGGAAGATGACTAAGTTATTTCTTTTATCCCTTAGCAAGGGTTACAGCCAAGTGCACAGGAGTCCTACACATTAAGACTGCTGCAGTAGGCATTGCACAAATATCAAGGCTTTGTGTGTGCAAGAGCTCCTGTGTTAACTCATGGCATAGCACACGTGTCTGTGGATACGCGCATCCCTCTAGCAGCACTATTACACACTGTGCTCGGATGCGGGGAGATCAATACTCTCCCGAAACCCAACCATCTGTTTTAAGGAAAGGCTACAGACCAACACCGAAGGGAACCCACCGCCTCGCATGCGACAAACGCCCCATCCAGCCCCTTGCAGGTGATCTCCTGGCTGCATCGCTTGACCGCGGCGAGTGAGATGCCGGAGGGCGAGTGAGTCCATCACAAAGGACCCCTTTCAGCTGAAATGTTTGTCAGAAAACGTGTCAGTTGGGGAGACCTCTCTCCTACAGCTGGGCAATTCTGTTTGATGTTATGGACTGTCTGCACGTATCAGTCTCAAACTGCGAGCTCCATTTTGTTTTCCTGAGCACCATTTTGTATTTTCTCTATTCTGTCCCTTGGCCTTGACTCGGTGTATTAAGCCAAAACACCAGGAGGTGTCAGAGGAAATTCTCGCACTGGTGGAAAAGCTGTCAAGCCTGATTGCCCATTCGAATGGAAGCACCTAGGAGTGAGCAGGTCACTTCCCCAGCCCCAGCTGGGGTCTTAAGACAGAGTCTCACACCAGGCAGACCTACTCGCTCCTTTATAAAGTTGCATCATGTAATGTTGCATTGAGTAGTGCACATTGCAATCTCATAGTTGCAGATTATGCAGGAATTGAAGACTAAGTGTATGTATATGCTGTATACGTATAATTTATTTATACCTACATCATTATTTTAACATCTATATCTTCATCCATAGCCATATCTACCAAATTCTAAACATTACTTGGGGTGAGTGAGAAAGCCAAGGCAGGGACCAGCATCCAGAGGATGTGTTTTACCTGGGTCCATATATCTCTTGCTCTATATCTATATCTATATCTATATCTATATCTATATCTATAAAGACTGAGCACCCAGAAACCTTTCCCAACACTCACATTGGTGGCTGCAGCTCATGTGTTACATCCCTACAAATAGAGGTGAGGGCAGTTTGGGATCCCACATCCAAGCATCCTGGGCTCAGGAACGGTGCTGTGGGAGCCACATCTGCCCAGCCCAGAGGAACCTGTGGACCCTCAGCCCACCCGGGGGTATATGGTGGGGTGATGGGAGAAGCCCAGGGATGACGCGCTGGGGGGTGTGCTGAGCTCCAGCCTCTAGAAGAGCAGTGGGGGACCAAAGAGGGCTCTGAGCTCCCTCGCTAATTGTTAACCCACTGCGATCCTCACTCTAATTACTCCACTGTCTCCCTTCCAGGCAGGAGCTTTGTAGCGCAGGCATGGGGAGGAAGGGTCAGTGGGAGCAGCCCTGTTCCCTTGGGCTTCAGTTCCTCTCCCTCACAACTTCAAAGGCCTCCCAAGATTCACAGCAAGGCTCCCCCCGTGCAACAACGCCTTTTGCATTGATAATTAAACCCTTATCAGCACGGTTAGGTGCTCCTGCTCCCTGCTGCCCAAAGACCAGCAAGTTCAGACCCTGCAGCCCCAGGTGGGTCTGCACACCCCACACCAGCCCCACAGCCCCAGCAAACGGGAACAAAATGGGAGGGTTATCCGCAGCGGGAAGAGAGAGTCGGGGTATGGGAAAGGGGCAGGGAGAGACTCCCTGACAGGAGGGGAACAAGAGCTGGTGGCTTTCATTTCCTACAAGCTCGGGCAGGTCTTTGAAGGGGCAGGTGGGGCTGGGGGAGGGTCAGCTATTTGTGTTCCATCATTTAATCCAGGATGTGCTGAATAGCCAGCCACAACCTTTCCAATTCAGGAGGCGAAGTCGAGCAACAAAGCTGTGTCTTATTGGACTTGGAGCATTGCAGGGGGACAGGATGGGATGCTTCACTTTCAGTTTCCCCCTCCCCGGGACAATATTTATCTTTAAAGAAAGATAAATAGTCTTTTATTCACCAACACACTAGGCCAACCGGTGGGGCTTTGAGGTAAAAGCAGGAAATCCTGAAGGGTAGGTCAGCTCTTCCCATTCGGGAGCTGTGCGCAGGGGATGTGCCCCACGGATGCGGGTCGGCAGTGCGGCAGTGGGTGCTGCACACCGATGCTCTGCTGCGCAAGCGGCCGGATCCAGGAAGGCTTTGCCAAGCAGCCACTCACCCACACGACTGAATCTACTACAGACACAGAGGGGATGGTGCTCGCGTCGGCACCCACTGGCCTTGGCTACCTGGAGAGGAAATTTAGGAAAGTATTGTGGGTAGATATAAAAGATGCCAGTAAATCTGGCAGAAATGTGGTATTTCCACATTTCTGGAAATACCAGAATCAAGCTGAAAAAAAAAACCAAATATTAAAAAGAAACATTTTCAAACAATTAC